AAGTTTCACGCAGTTTGCCCAACCTTTAGATTTTCACGGCTTTTGGCTTCCAGTTGTCGGTCCAGAAACTCAATCTGGTCGGATATTACAATGAGGATGTCCTAATAATTTAACATACCTAACTAGTGAATTGTACGGCTAACAGTCAATATTTAAGATAGTCAGTCGTAAATATCATTATTTAAAAGCAGTGTGCTATCGCATTATCTCTCTGATTTCTATATTCCTCTGTTTCTCTAGCATGCTCTAATTTGCTGTTTGCTTGCTTGTTTTAACTAATCAACATTTTATTTGTCCGTTTGCGTTTTGGTTCTTGGGTTGCGCGCTTTATTAGATTTTATTCGCAAGTGCGTTACTTACCGAATAACCACGAGGTGTAACGACCGATTGTTTTAAACGGACCTTTTTTACTTCCCGCCCTCCCTTTTTCAGAGTTTGGGTCACGTGGATTGGAGCTGACGCCTGTCGACGCGCCCTTCGCTAAGTCCCCTTTTCCTTATCGTTTCCGTATTCCTGGACTACCGATTCGTTTTCCGTCTCGTTTATTTCACAACTAACCAATCTTTTTCCGTGTTTCATATTTTATCGATTCATAGGATTAACTTGTATTCTCATAGTTGTTTAGTAGTCTGTGCCCACTATTTTTACCTTTTATTATAGATCGCGCTAAACTTATTTTTCTATCGTGCCGCCAACGTTTTACCAATAAACTTTTATATCCAGTTCATCTGTCGCTATTATGTTCACTCCACCTCTTTCCTTTGCTAGTGTGTATGATGGAGTAACTCAACTTTTTGAGGAGTTTTCCTTGGCTACCCATACGAAAGACCATAAGCCATCACATTCAACCTCAGGCCTCCCCGAGTTTCCCGGAGCCCCTCCTTGCTCAGCCGCTACATTGGTGGCAGCTACTTCGCCCACGAACCCTTTCGTTGATCCCCCCTTTCCCCACCCTAACCCCGTGGCCCCGCCCACCGACCGTCTATACACATCAGCGCCCAGCCCCCTGTTAGCCCCAGACGCCTACGAACCCGGACACAACATTCGTGATTGGCTGCGTGACTTAGATCTTTTCTTGACTGACGTCCCTCCCCACCAACATACTTGTTTCTTACTACGTTTCCTTTGCCCATCCGCCAGGCGACGCGCCTTCGATGCCGGCCTTACACCAGCTACTCCCTTCCCCGTCGCCTGCCGTTGCGTCGTGCAGCTGTTCGACACCCCTGACGCGCCTGGCATCGCGGCAGAGCAATTTGCCAAGTTACGCCAGGCCCCCGGCAATCTGTTGACGACTTTGCGACTGAACTCACCCGACTTGCCTCCGCGGCTTTCCCCAATTTACCACACCCCGATCGGGACGACCTTATCCTCTACCGTTTCATTTCAGGCCTCTTCGATCGCTCGATCACCGACTCCTTTCTCCTCCACCCCCCGCGTACTTTGCACGACGCCTTGCGGCAGTGCCGTCTGTATCTTAGATATCACCGAACCCACCAACCCCCTCCGAGACCCCCTTTACCCCCAGCCCGACCGGAGCCCCAAGCCCCAGATAGACGGAGCACTTTGCCGGTCCGATTCCCTGATCACAACCCTGGCTGCCAGTACTGCGCGGCTTTCGAACCACGAGTTCGCCACTGCGGCCATAACCCACCTTCTGAGTCCACCCCCATTGACGCTATTCACTTTCACGATTTTTTTTCTGTCCCTGCTTTTACTGTGCCGGTACGTGTGGATAGTCACCCCACTCGGACGTTAGTAGACACGGGCGCAAATGTGTCGCTTGTCACCATCCACAAGCTTCCCAATGACCTACTGCGTCACATGGACCCACTTCCGGCTCCCCGCTCCCTCCATGCCGCCAACGGCACGGCGATACCCGTATCGGCCACTGTTTCGCTACAGCTTATGATCGAAGACGCGCGTATCTCCCATAGGTTTCCTGTTACCCCTGATGGCCCCTGGCCTATCGTTCTCGGTCTTGATTTCCTAGAGGCTCAAGATTGTGTAGTCCATGTTCGCGAACGACAACTCACACTCGGCCGAAACACCACCGCACCCGCCTCTCCAGCCACTATAGAAGACCTCGACATCATGTACAACTCAGTACTTTCCGCCGTAATGCTAGAGCCACCCCCTTAGATACCGTTCTTCCCGCCCCCTCCCTAGTCGGTCCGGTCGCGCACGAGCAGCTTAAGACCCTCCTGAACGCCTTCCCAGACCTTTTCGCCTGGTCCACCGACACCATCGGGCGCACCCACTTGATCCAGCATACGATCGACACGGGAGACGCCAAGCCCGTGTGGCAACCCCCACGCCGCATCCCATTGCACTACCGTGAAGAAGTCAACAAGCTGTTAGATGAACTGCTGCAGGCTAAAATAATCCAGCCTTCGTCGTCCCCATGGGCTTCTCCCATAGCCCTCGTCCCCAAGAACGATGGATCCGTCCGGCTGTGTGTCGATTATCGTCGCCTTAACGCCGTGACAGTTCGTGATTCCTTCCCGCTTCCGCGGTTAGACGACACCCTAGACGCCTTAGGAAATGCTGCATGGTTCTCAACACTAGACCTCAAATCCGGTTATTGGCAGGTTGAGATACATCCAGACGACCGCCATAAAACCGCGTTCACGGTACCCCAAGGTCTGTATGAGGTACAGACCCTTCCGTTTGGCCTGTGCAATGCCGCCGCCACTTTCCAACGTCTTATGTATCGCGTCCTCCAACCCCTCATACCGGACAAGTGTCTCGTCTACCTCGATGACATTATAGTGTTTGGGAGGTCTATCGACGAACACAACCACAAGTTGCGCGCGGTATTGGAAGCCCTCCGCTCCGCTGGTCTGACCCTTAACCCCACGAAGTGCCTTTTTTTACGCCCATACGAAAGACCAGAAGCCATCACATTCAACCTCAGGCCTCCCCGAGTTTCCCGGAGCCCCTCCTTGCTCGGCCGCTACAGAGGTGCGCGTATGTAGCGGCCGAGGATGTCAAGGGTAGCACACACCAAGGTAAGGAAACGCTGAGAGTAGATCCTGGAGGAGATGGATCTGAACAGAGCTGTTAGCATCTCTGACTGCTCATTCACACGCAGCAGAAGACGGTACGTCGGTAACGGGATATAGTATAGTATAACAAGACGGTCATGGAAAACACGTATAATAATAATAATAATAATAATAATAATAATAATAATAATAATAATAATAATAATAGTTACTCACACAGGTGGAATTAGTTACAGCCATAAAATAACCTGTTTGGGTGGAGAGGCGATACCGACATGCCAGCTCATTAACCGGTGGGAAATGCATCGTTGTGGGCAGCTGCAGGGAAGGGCCGAGGGCGGTGCCGATGTAGAGAGACGGAGAGCGATGCGAGCGTTACGGTACGGTACGGGGGAAGGGATAGGCGGAAGAGAGGGAAGGGACACCGGCCATCATCACCGACACGCGGATAATCCAATGACAGCTGTAAATAGAAAAATGAATGTAATATGAAAAGGTCCAAAACGTCACACAGGTTGAGTTGGAGGCCTCGACAGGGGATAGACTAAGTCCGTCCTATATCTGCACTAAAAGGCATAAGAGATCACGAAACTGCCAGCTTCTGTCTCAGACTTTCTATCTCTTTTTCTGCTTATTAAAATAATCTTGCCTGGTCCGGTTCAGTCGCTACACTCGCTCCATGGAGCTCCGCCCAAGGTCAAACAAGCAGTTAATGCTGTAGCGGCCGAGGACGTCAAGTAAGGAATCGTTGAGAAGAGATCCTGGCGGAGATAGATCTGAACAGAACTCTTAGTATCTCTTGATACTCATTCACACGCAGAAGAAGTTACGTCGAGTAAAGTATGTGGTATAATATAACGAGATAAACACGGGAGATGTGTATAATAATTGTAAATGTGCATGTAGAAGGAGAATCAGCAATGAGATAACCTGTCTGGATGGAGAGGCCATCCAGACATACTAGCTTAACAGCCGGTGGGGATGCAGCGTTGTGGGCAACTGCAGGGAACGGCCGAGGGAGAAGCCGACGCTGAGTGAGAGAGGACGAAAACGGCAGTGCGTTGTGGGACGGGGTGTCGGCGGTAGCGAGAGAAAGGGAGACCGACCGTCTTCACCAACACGCGGTTATACCATCGTCATTCCAGGTTCGCGTCAAAAGTTTCGCAGCATTCAACCAACCCAGTTCAGGTCATGGGACTTTGAAATGCAACCGCCAGACTAAATGAGCCCGCGGCTCATGTTTTAGTGAGTCAAGCCCGTAAAGGACACTTGTTGAACGCAAACGCAATTCGGGTGGTTGGTCTACCTCATTGTCGTTTACAACGCTTCTGCCACCGTCTTCTACCAAAAGCTCCCGGAATCCATTGGTCATCACAAGTAATTGCTATTGTTTATTTTCATTGCATAAGCCCTCATCAGAAGGTATTTCTTTCTTCCATGCAACCCTGGAAAGATTATTATCTGTCTTTTCCGTATTCGTCATCTACTAATACCTGACAGTCCTGACGGCTGCTTGTGCGTGTGTCCTATATAGAGCACTGACAGTTAACTGGAGGACGTTCGGTAGCAATTTCATAGCGAGGCAACAGCGCCTCGCTGTGGAAAGGTCGCGATACTATGACCGAGCTATAGAGGATTTTATCCATTTGGTCGCTATTAAAACAACGGCGAAACATCGAAGTACGGATCCATGCAGCCACAGGACGCATGTCCTTTGCCACGTATACCTTTTACCACCTGAAAATGCTCGTTACCGCACCTCCCATCCGATAGGATACTGTACATCCTACCTAGTCCCCCCCCCCAATAAGTTGAATGAATGCGTTGTTCACGTAACAAAAATAGGGATTTACTATAAAAACATGAGTTACAAAAATTATCATCATAACTCCTCCCGCGGTCTGGACGACGACGGTCCAGCTGACGGTTCTAAGCAAAGAAGGCGTAATGAGAGAGTGGTTTTACTAACCATCCTAGTCATACGGCATGGAGTCTCCCTGAGAACGTCGCTTTCGTGGGGCCTCGAGAGATCTCTTCAACCGCCTTGTAAAGGCGACCTCGAGCTCATGCACGTCGACGCCTACCCCCCATTCCAGGCTGCGTAAACCTTTGTTTGGCATGTAAATATACATATAAGCAACGGCCTACCTTTAATGGTGTGTCGGTTTTCATGAAGGCGCAAGCTGCTCTTCATGAACCATGCCAGCTGCTTGTGCATAAAGTTCATGGTTTCGCTCTGCCGTCTTATTTGGCCCTGCATGTCATTTAAAACTGAGCGGCAGGACGATCTTTCTCTTCACATGCCGCTTAATAGGTCGTTTACATTCGTACCTAGACATTTGGGGCATAAAAACAGATGCTAAATTAAACAAGGAAGGGTATAGCAAAAAAGCAGTAAGCACGTGATAGCACGCGTAACATGCACTACGGGCGCAATAATGGCGACCTGCACGCTAGCGCGTTATTGTTGATCACTCAAGCATGCCAGCCAATGATTGTGGGAAATCGATAAACTCGTTATCCAACCAGATCACGAAAGACCCCAATCGCGAGATCTCCGCGATAACGGTGCGTCAGATGGTTATTTAATGCTGATAGGGAAGCAAAGCTTGTTTCCAAACGGAACTCAGTATCAAATGTCAACTGGACTCAAGGAACGACTTAGTCTTCGCAGACAAGTTACCAGTATTCTTTGCATTCTGCTGGTTTCCAGCCACTTTGCTGACAGAAGATTGACTTCGGAAGCACGATGTAGACGGTATTCGTAGGAATCTGAACTACACCGAACCAGATACTTCGTTAAGCTCCGGATACTGGTTTCCTGAGGGCCTCAATGAAAGATGAAGTTATCGCTGATAATGGGATCGGCAAAAACTCAAGTTGGTTGCACTTCTAAGCGGATTTCTTGACTTTTTTGACGAGCCGTAACTCCGGGCAGAGACGGGTGACAGAAATATCAAAGTCTGCGATGACGAGCAACATCCGATAGAATGCAAACGGCACGCTGGCCTTCGAATATGCCCGAGCAGCTACACGAAAGAGTGAAGGTCAGATATCTATTTGCCTGGATCTTATATTCAGCTAGATTGAGGAAAGTGTTGACGAAAGGGTTGTTGATCCACCCTTGGTTCTTGTGAAGACACGACATTAATACTGGAATCAGCGCTTGTAGCTATCCCCTGGCCAAGCTCAAATTCTTCCAGACAAACATGACGAGCAACTCTAAGAGGAGGAAGTCGGCAATTAGACACAAACTGTGGACGGAAGTGTTACGAAGAGATGTCGACGAATGTTAGTTAGCCTTTGAAATAGCTATAAGAGTCTTAGCTGAATTATACTGTCTCCTCAAAATCACCCGACCAGAAGCAGACCAAATGGCCGACGTCGGAGGTAAGGAAGTCAACTCGAAAGATGCGCAGATTCTGGAAAATCTTTCTGCAGATTGAAAAACCAGTAAAACTTAACGACCTCAGACGCCAACGCACTTTACGTAAAGGACTTCTCCGAGAAGCATGCTCATCTTACGAAGTGGAGGTTCTAGAAGAGGCACAGCAAAGACCCAAGGCATTCTATGCTTGAAACACAAGTAATACTAAGAATCGCGACGACCTCGCAACCTTGAAAAACAAAGACAATCAGATTGATGAATGGCCTCCAAAAGCCAGGCTTCTCTCTGAATTTTTTCAAATTGTTTATGCGCCACTGCAGCCCAGAGCTCAGCTACACTTTCCCACCAACCCAGTTATAAGCACAGTATTATTTACAGCGCAGTTAGTTTCGGCCGAATTAAAGAGGCTGGATCTGGCCACGTCACCAGGACCAGATGAGGTTCCAGGAGTACTCCTATGCCAACTTGCTGAAGAATCAGCTGAACCACTGTGAATCATCTTCCTAACAGCTCTTGAAGCTGGTAAGTTTTCCAGTACCTGGAAATGGACAGATATTTTACTCATGAATGTAAGTCTAACATGCTTCCGCTGTAAGCTAGTGGGAAGGAGAGTCAAAAATCAATTATATAACTAAGTTCTCTCTGCAGTCAGGTCAGCTCAGTTCTGCATGGTTTCAAGGAGAAGAGGTCCTGTCTCACAAACCTCCTTACGATGGTCGAACTTAGGTCATAAGCAGTGGTCAAAGGACACCCAACAGATGTCATTTACTTTGGCTTTAGCAAGGCTTTTAATTGCGTCCCACATGAGCGCCTCACCCAGAAGATGTCCTTCAGAAGACCATCTGAACTGAATTCAATATTTCATGCCCGATCACTGCCAAAGAGGGAACATATTCAGAGACGCTGGTAGTGCACCTCGAAGAATTTCGTCGTCAACGAAATGCTGCCAAAAAATGAGTCCCCCAGGTACGGAAGCAGTATTAATTCCGAATTATCCGACAGGCTGAACAGAAGCCTAAGATTTTATTTCGCTATATTAACAGTAGACTAAAAAGCCAGAACCCCTTCGAAGTACGGAAGGTGTAGAAATCGTCGAAAACAGCGAGAAAGTCGAACCCTTAATATGGTACTTTGCCTCGGTTTTCAATAGAGAAACGGAGTTTATTAGTCGCAATGTCATTAATACTGTTGAGACCGCTAGTCCCGTGATTGACACCATACTTACCCCGACATCTGTCGTGGAAAGGGAGCTACAAAATCTCAAGGAAGCAAAGTCTTCGGGTCCGGACAAATTCTTGAAAGAATTGGCGAACGAACTCTCCACACCATTAGGGGGCTGTCATCCGGAAAGAAGAGAGCAAATATCTCTCTGATATATAAGGGTGGCGCCCACACTAATGCTAACAATATCCAGCCTGTCCGTCTCATCGAAATCTGCTGCACAATAATGGAAACCATAGTTAAGAAACCAACAACGAATTTCCGAAATTGGGATAAAGGGAAAGCTGCTGACATGGATCGCAGATTTTCATACAGGGAGATCACAAACCGTGTGCGTCGAAGCCTCGAGGTCAATTCCAATCCACGCTCTCACTGGTGTCCATCAGGGCCCAGTCTTAGGTCCGTTGCTATTCCTAGGTTACATTAACGACTGCGTCGATGACCTGGGATACAACGTCATTACGCTTGCTGACAATGTTAAGCTGTGGAGAGTCATGAGATCTGACGCAGTCTCATTCGCCTGAGCAGTTAGTCAGTTCCTTGGCTCCTCGATTTAAATGTAGACAAATGTGTAGTCCTGAGACTTCGCACCAGGAGGATCAACAAGGAGAACGATTCCTTTCAAGACGTCCTTGGTGGGCAGCCCCCTTCAAATGTTGTGGAACAGAACGACCCCGCGTCCTAATGATCTCCCCGCTGAAACTACCCTCACAGTGTCACAGGGCAGTCAAAAGCGCGATACGAGTGTTACTTGCGCTGAGGAGAGGATTTGTGCTGATCGATAAAGAGCTATTCGGAAAAACTTATGGGGCATTCGTTCGGTCTTCTTTAGTATGAAGTCCAGTCCTGGCGATCAAGTTTGAAGAGGGATTATCAACAACTGGAAAGAGTACAGGCGATGGCTACGAAGATGGTCAAGAATCTTAATAATCTGTCTTAGTAAACCAAACTGGTCGAACTAAATCTGGTACCTCTCAATCACAAACAACTACACGGCGATGTCATTCAAACCTACAGGATTACCAGAGACCATGAGTGCGCCCTGGACTATAATGATGATAATAATAATAATACTTTTTATTCAAGACCCGTGGATGAGACGGACCGTCTGCGTGGTCATCATTCTAAATTGCAGATAAAGATGGCCCACACGGACGCCCGACGGAAGGCCTTCTCTCAGAGGGCGATTGGAGCACAGAACGGACTCCCTGATGCGGTGGTTTTTTCGAAACTGTTGAATCCCTTAAGTGCCCATCAGACGCTTATTGGCTGCGAAACTATTGTACATAAAATCACGATTATTTTAACGGTGCCTGTTTGCTCCTGATTCGTACTTTTCCTTAACTTTGGAATTTTCGGATTTGCTCATGTAACAAACTCAAAGGCGGAAGCCAAAGTCTATTAATACAATGACTTCCGGCCACACTGTCAACTGAAGGTAGTTTTCAAGAGGGAAGGCTTTCAGGAGAATACCACGTTTCCGTGAAAAGAGTCATTTGTAATGTGGTTTACGGCAGTTACTGATTGCAAACACCTCTGCGGAACCGGCCTCCAAAACTGACGGCCGGAATAAGCTCATAATTAAATTAAATTTTTTATTTAATGCCAGTTTACAGGCATTGTCAAGGAAAGCGATTAAACACAAATCCGACCAGCAGTGAAAAAAAACTCCTGAGCTTAAGGGATAAAAATATAGTTGATGGTGGTTTTTGTGGTTTGGAGGGCTCAGGAGAAAAAAACTGCCGGCGGTGGGAGAATATCGACCGTCAAGAAGGGGGGAGGTTGCACGGTATTGGAGATTATCGGACGTCAAATTCCTTTCATGAAGTTGCGGATAGTCAAAGTAGAGGCGTTGAGGAACAGCTCGTGAGACCGGCCATAGTGTTCAGAGACCACAAACGCCATCGCTACGGTACAGTCGATCAGTAGATTCAGCACCCAAAATTTGTGGGAGCTTTTCTGAATGCAAAAATCAAGTAATAGTTCTCTTAAATAAAGGATAATTTTGCAGAGTTTTCACACTCATGGGTAGTTTATTCCAAATAGCAATTGCATTTACAGAATAGAACCGACGATATTTAACAGTACGTGCCAGAGGTAGAAATAAGAAAACCTCACGGTGACTGTTACGTCGTGGGTGGATATGATGTCTTAAAGAGGTGAGTGGGTTAAATGTGTGATTATATAAGAGTTTAAATAGCAAAAATAGTCCCTTTTGTAATCTACGGAACCATAAAGGATCGAGGCCTGTAAGCCGGCAACGTTCTTGGTAAGACAAATGTCGGTGTTCTGGGGTTAAAATTCTCTTGGTAAAAAAGTGTTGAACGGATTCTATTTTCTTCCGCTCAGTAGCACGCATGAGGCTTAATGAAAACGAACAGTATTCCAGACCAGGTCTAACGTACATGTTGAAAAGGCGCATACTAATGTCCCTAGTTTTAAAGTTTCGGAGGATAAACCCGGTCGTTCTACGTGCTTTGGAGACTATCAAGGCACAGTGCTCCGAGAGATTGAGACTCTTGGAGTATGATACGCCCAAATCCTTTATAACCCCTGGCACATTTATTGCGTGACCTTCAATACTTAGTTGAGGTTGGCGGTCGTCGCCAACCACCATGACTGAGCACTTATGCCAGGAAAGAGAAAGGCGCCATGTGCGGCACCACTGGGCGAAAGCCTGTAGATCGCTCTTTAGGAGCTCATGCACGATGTCATGATCTGCCGGCTTATATCGATATGCAACTTTAAGATCATCGACATACATGAAAGGCTTACCATTCTGAAATAATGTTCAGTGTTTTGCAAGGAAAACAGACTTGAGGAAAAGAGTCCGGAAAAGGAACAAACCTATGGAAACGATTTGCGGAGGCATGACCAATATTCTCTACACAGAAGGCCATGTCTAAAGAGAATTAAAGATATTGAAGAAAGCAACTTCCACAGGCACAAATGAGATTTTAACCAAACCTTTCGAATAACAAGCCCGCAAAATTTTCGTACCTTTAGCAATGGTTTTTCAATGTTCATTTGAAATTGGAAGCTGCGAACACTACTCTCCGTTGCAAAAACGACAGATGGGTGTCGACGACAAATTCCAACCCCAAAAACTTAGCGCACGCTCCGCGCATAGTCACGAAGTGTATCAGTACGAGCGAACTAATGCAGATCCTTGGACAAAACCAAAAACAATAACTGTCAGTATGAGTTCCGGAAAGACGATCATGCAATACCAACCCGTTGAAATCTCTCCAGAATAAGACTCCAATTCTGAAGGGTAGGTGCAATATCCACATCGCCTTCACGACTTTCAGGATACCTTCGATATTATGGCGCACCAGCCACTGCTAAACAGAATGGAAATGATACGGATCAGAAATAACTCCCACACATGGATAAGTAATTTCTTCTTGGGTCGGCCAGTAAAGAAAAATCTAGGCCAACTGCAATCTAGAATGGTGTTCCCAGGGGTTAATTACGTCAGCATACTTGGTCCTGATGTACATGGACGATTAAGCAATACGGTTGGTTCAGAGTCAAGACTACTTACATTATGCCGACGCACATAATTCCTCTGTAAACTGCCCTTTGTTTTGCGTCGTAATTAAATGTTCGACGGTTCACGCCTATTATTTTCTCCTTATGTTGAACTTAACTGACCTGCCCAGTTCATTTAAATATACCACAAAAAACCACACTTTACGTGTAATGGTTGTGGGGGTGTTTCGCACAACCTCGAAGATGGCACTTTCTCGTTTGTGTCGTTCGGTTTCGAGCGAATTTCTGGTAAACGGTGAGCCGTTATCTAGGATTTGCCGATTTCCCCGCGAAATAGAAAAACGATTCAGATATATTTACAAGCTACGTTTGTCAGTGTGACGCCGTCTCCGGAATTTATCGAAGAATGCTTGACGACTAGGGAATTTGTGTGCCTTTTGTCTTTACCACTCTACGAGGACTCTTCTCCCTCAACCATTTTGCCCTGCCCCCAGAAAATTGACTTATTCAGGCGACGGTTGCTAACTTGCCACCCTAACCAGCGGTATGTTGCAGACGATAGCGGAGATCGCAATCTTCCCGTTCGTCTGGTATTCGCATCTTTCTTTAGGAAAATTGGTTCCAGTGTCTTACGCGGGCCCGCTGAAGGCAGGTCGGGGCTCGTGAGAGTGCTAGAACTTTCGAGATTTTGCTGGCTCTATGTTCTGTTTACTGGGTGTCATCCAAAGCCCTCTGGATTTTGTCGGCCCACAGGAAACTTGTCATATTGCTGCCGTTTATGCATAATGCGGTTGAGTAAGACGAAAAGAGAAGCGTAGCTAAGACCATTTTCTGCCCTTACTCAATTTAAAAGTGTCGACACGCGACTCTTGCGTCGTAAAGTTGTTTACAGATCTTCATTCAAATGCATTAGAAGCTTAAGTTCCAGCAGTCCATACACATGCATCTCTGCGTAGCATTGACGTCCCTGTATCGGAGGAACTCAATTCACTCGTCTCCAGTTAGGAAAAACCTAACACTGAATGCCCAACAGCTTCACCTTCGGAGCCCTGATCGACCATATCAAGCGGCGCTTTACACTAATCACCACCACGTAGCGGTTATCTTGCAGTAGTTAGCCGACAACTGGATGCTGGTTCAGCACTGGCAAGCCGAAAATATTTTTCCTTGATCCAGCCAATGACTTATGCACGGACGTAAGCGAATATGCGAGGCCCACGTTCTTTTTTCAAAGAAGATGAACGTGCAGTCACTGCGCCAGTACGTATATTAGTGTGAACTTTCGGTCTCGTACAGTAGACCGCCGTCGGGGCTGTGAGAATACGGCGTCAAATGAGCAGTTTTATAGTCAAAAAAAATAAGGGCGAGGATAGGAACGTGGGGGTGGTGTTCGTGATAGGGCTGTCTTAAATCAAATAAAAAGGGGAGCAAAGACGCATTTATGTCGGACGGTTGCGGGAGCTTGCTGTAGGCTGTTTCGATAATAGTATTAATAATAGTGGTGCTTGACCACGGAAAGTCGAGAAAGCATGTGAGTTGTTCGCACCAGCCCTCGACTTTTGCCGAGTTGTCGGTTATAACCAGCACCCTTATCGCTGACGAACCCCCTCTACAAGAGACCTGCCAACAACTTGAGAGCTAAGTAGGTAGAGCTTTTACTCGGCAGCAACGTTCGAGGACCACACCGTGGAATTTTTGACATGCGTACTATCCTTTACAGTCTTCTCTGACGGACTAAATCCTGTCGAGTTGGCGGGAAGATTCGTCGTCCTGCCTGACTTCGGTTTTTTGAGCAAAAAACTCGTGCTTTCGAGCTGATCCCATCGCCATGGCTGTGGTCGAGAAGTCGGGGCATTCTTCAGTTGTCTCTCCGTCCCATTTTCTCAATTCTGATCGTTTGCTCTTGCATTCTTCAGTTCTAGTCGCATAGCAAGACCTAAATTTAGTCCTCCGAACCTTGGTTATGTGAACTTGTTGTGACTTTTTAACGTCCAGACGTTTAGATGGAGTCTTCGTAGTCGCGGTTGAGGATTCGCGTTCCAGACGTGTGTGAACGAGCTTGTTATCTCGACCACAAGTTCTCCGTTTCTGAGTCGTACGTTTACCTCCTGTCACGCATCAAGCTGTGGAGTCGTATGCTACCCAGGATGTAGTCCAGCTGACAGCAGGTTTGCATATTCGTGTGTCGACGCCGAAGTCTTTTGGGTGTGACAGACGGAAGATTGTAGTAGGCGAAACTTCACGGTCGATTTACCTCTGTTGCCTCAAGTGCCAAGAATACGTTTGGCAGTTTCATGCATCAGACCGCTCCTGTCACTAATGGTGGCGGTCAGACAACGGCGTCTCTTCTGTAGAGGCTTTGATGCAAGGGAAACTTCGCACACCGACGTAATTCGTCGAACACCATCCTTTTGAGGAAAAAATGTTGATTGCGGAGCATACCGCACGACGTCTGTGGAAAGGCTATTCAACCGACGCCACAGAGCAAAGCAAGGTACGTTTTATCCGGGTGAGAGGGTGCTGAAAAAAGACTACGAGGACAGTCAAGAAGAGTGGATGCTTGTACATGTTCGCCAAAAACGTTCTGACGTTGTCCACGAGATTCTGGTCAATCAGACATTTGGGTGCGTCATGCAGTCAGCTGTGACACACTGAATGCCTTGACATGCCAAGTCCAGACTCAAATCTATCTACAGGACAGTTGTTTTGCCGAAACTTAGGCAAGCAACCACAGTTTCGGTGTCAAAAGGTCTTCTTCAATCACTTAGATGATCGAGCCGAAAACGAACGTAAACGGTACCATTTCTAGTGAACCCGCGACTCAAACCGTATCATCCAATTCAAAAGGAGGGAATTGTTAGGAGGAGCCGTTTTAACCGGCTCGCTCAAACGTCCTAACGGGCTGTCTGCACGCCCTGCGCGTACTGATATCGCGCCAGCTCCTGACAGGACTAGAGGTTTGCACAGCCAGACAGATTAGTTAGAAGTCCAGCAGACAGGTTAACCACTCAAGGACAGTATCTGACCGATCCAATTCCAGTCCAGCCTCGAACATTCCCATATGTTCCTTTGATCGCATTATATACTCTGTTGGATTAAGTCAGTACACTTCTTTTCTTCCGCGCTTGTTGTTGGACTCTGATTTTGAAACTCAAGTAACAAGAGTTGTTGGACAGGTGACTAGCGAAGCGTGTGACAAGTATACAAAAAGGGAAACATACTCACGAGTGCAGGAATTGGCTGAAATACTCCCCCGTCGTGTTCTGCTGATTGTTGCTGAAAACTGGAACGGCTGGACTGGACTCAGCGATTCTTCAGTCACCCTATTGGCTGCTTTGAGCTTAGATCTCGGTGCACCTATGGTTAGAGAATGCTGAATGTTTCGATCCAAATCGACCTTCTCATAAACACATGCTTCCAGCATTGCTGCAAATACATGTTAGCCTGGTATTCAAATTAAGCCCATACAGACAGTCAAAACGATTGAATTTCAGTTGGTTCAAGTTTCCACAGCTGGACTCACAAAAACAGATCGATGCGTTGTGCCGAAACTAATAACAGCCACTAGTTGGGCCAGGTTCTCGTTCACACACCCGAAAGTTCACTCCTCATCCGCACCAAAATTTTCACGTGCAAGACGCCTCGGTGTCGCAAAACTAGGACAACACAGCAATCTGGGGCAGTTGCGGGGAATTTTAGATTCACCCAGCTACGCCACAGTGACCGGATCAGCTGGAGAACTTTTCAGTTGTCTGCCCAACGGCCAGAGCCAGGTCCTGCAACGGCGACTCCTTCCACCAACCCCGGAGACTGACGGCAAAGTCGGCTAGGGATGACCACATGCAATGTGACTGAATTAGCGACATCCATGGAGCAAACCTCAAACATTGGTGACGCTCGAAAACCCTACTCACTTGTCACTCAAGTTAATGGCAAGTCATCTGCACTCAGTGATTCCGTTCGCGGCGGCGTTGTTGCTTACAACTCGGTCAAAGTCAAGTGCCGGCGTGAGCACTTCGAGGATCTTCTCAACTTCGACGACCAACCTATCACGTCCTCGCTCTCCTTTTTAGGGGTTTTTCCCCCTTCCGGCCTATGCAGTGTCGTGTTATCTCTCATTCAATTGAGAAATAGCCTATACAGTACGGAGACTGCGTAATAACGAGGCGCACAGAGAGGACGGTATCCCTGCTGAAATCTACAAGTTTTGTGTCGACACTATTGCGCCCTGGCTCCATTAGGGGATTGAGCAAACGTGGGGGGATGTAGTCGGCCCTGGTGACTGGGACTCGAGCATCCTTGTGCCCGTCTTCACGGAGGGCGTAGAATTGCCTATTTATCTTCAAAAATGCTAACAATTCTTGCCGGAAAATAGTGCCTCTTTTATCTACAAACTTCACTGCACCCACCCTTAGAATACGATTATTCTATCTTAGGTCCCCCCGCCCTCCTGGCCGTTCAACCGTTTTCCTCCAGAGGCTTCGCTTCCGAGCCCATTTCACTCGCAAATCTAAAACGTGGAACAGGCGGCCGTTGCTCATTTAATGGCATCATTGCTACCGTGTTTGGCGCCTCCGGCTACCTTGGAAAACACGTTGTCTCCCAGCTCGGTAGGATGGGAGCCCAAATTATCGTTCCATATCGGGGAGACCCGTATTTTGTCCGTGATCTCAAGGTCATGGGTGACCTGGGCCAAGTGCTGTTTTGTGTAAGTTTTCTCTCCCTACGTGCTACTCCCACTTTACAATCGGTTAGTCGACGGCACTCTAGAGCTGTGCTGTGATGTTTTTGCTATTTTCAGTCATCCCTTTTATCCGATCTTGTAAGCCATATAAACCTATTTCCTGAAGGCACAGAGATTCGATTTCAACCATTATGCCAAATGTATTGGAGTCCTATTCACCATTTCTAAGGTGTTGAACCTTGACACACATGCGATTTCGAGAAGGGACTTTGCGATGTTCGGGCTTGAGTCCCACCACCTAGGTTTAATTCGGTCTCGAGAGAACTGCATTAATTTTGGAACAATTTAATTTCAATTTCGTCTTCGAGCACAAAATTGGGATCATTTCTATTAGTCGCTAACTTAAGTCCTTTTTTCTGTGTTGATGAAGTTTGCTCATCGATCCTGTTGACCGCCATGTAGCTGCTTTCCTACTGTTTTTCGCTGGATCCCTTATGCGATATTGTGTTTCCCATAACCATTAAATTCCCACTCCTAACCACTGATGTTTATGACACGGGAGAACAGGTATGAAACCAAAATCCCCAATGTTCGTGGCGTAGTGACAGAAATCCCGCCGAATTTGGACAACAGCGTGTTTAGTTTGGAACAAGGAGTCGTCCGTGCATTCTATTTACTTTTCATTTATTGACTCGGAAGTGCAACACCGCTCCCTTTTCCAGACACCTCTCACCCCTTTTTATCCCAAAATGTCGATCATTAGATTTTCCCCAGTAAGACCTTTATCCTTATTTTCTAAATCATTCCAGCCATACCACTTGGAAGATGAAGACGCAATACGCAAATCAATGCGCTTCAGTAATGTGGCCATAAATCTCGTTGGAAAGAGAAATAACACGCGTAACTTCACACTGGAGCAAGTTAATGTCGAAGGCGCAGCGCGCATCGCTCGCTTGTCTAAGGAGATGGGCATAGAGCGCTTTGTGCATATCTCTGCTCTTACACAGAATCCAAATCCGCAGAGATATGTGTGGAGACCCTCGGAGTTCCTTCGTACGAAGGCAGTCGGTGAAAAGGAGGTTCGGAGAGAACGGTCTGATGCCATCATTTTCCGACCTTCTGATATGTGGGGCAACAGTGACTCCTTCCTCTGTTACTACGCTGCACGAGGTACCTTCTTTGTTCCCCCTTTGCTGTCGCCAGTTTCTATCCTGCGCCTAAAGACTGAGTGGTTTTTCAACGGCGCGATCAGCGTTTTCCAAACATCTTCCACTAATGATTCTCACTTTTTGTGGTCGTCTCTTCTGCACTTTTCCGCATCTTTTATCTCAGTCTTTCAAAGCCTAATGGGCTTATTACTGAGTCCTTACGACGCTGGCAGCAATCCACCATAATATCGAAAGTTGAGGGCAGACTACAGGGCATCTGGTAAGGACAGCTGATCCTTTAAATGAATTGCAAAGATAAGTCATGCAGAGATACCAGTGGTTTCTACAAGACAAGTGCACTTGAGGACTTTTTCGTATCCGCATGATTCTCGTGTGCACCATGGTAGCAAGCGGTAGGAGTTCGGCTAAAATTCTCTTGGATCTAGTCGCTTCTTTGTTCCACCCCTCTTTACACTCCGATGTAAAGAACTTACGAAACTGCCAGGCGCGTTTTAAGAATTCTGATTAGTGGTTTTGGTACTTTTATTTTTCGAGTGCAGCTGCCAGTCCAGCTATCAGTGTAGTGGGTCACATCTTCCCCACTCCCCCCCCCCCATCCACAGATTGCCTTTTTCAGGGTAAAAGTCCACGCAAAAGGAGATTTGCCGGTCAACTAAAATACTTGCTATTTACTCATACCCGATTGAGAACGAAGAAGCCTTATCTGCCACCGTCTCTGATGATGGGTTCGAGTGAGAATCCGGAACGTCAGGCCAATAAACTTCTTGTTCCAGTGGTCGCATCTTCTTCTAAGCTGGTTTCTCTCGTCATCACTGCATACACCTCCATTTTCCTTATCGAACTCTTACTTTGTTAGGGCCCATGCCACTTTTACTGAGTCTTTAGCCTTTTTTCGAAGTCGCACTCACCAGTCCTCTGACTCCTTCATTTTGCCATCTGCCAAGCAATGCCATGACTTTGTGTCTCGATGTATCTCCTAGAACGCCGCACCTCCTTCGGCACTAAACTTCGCATCTGCCTGTGGGAACGTGGTCAGAAGACGGTCAAACAGCCCGTCTACGTTGGTGACGTTGCTCGAGGTATTGTCAACAGTTTGACCGCCGCAGACAGTCCGGGAAAGATCTACGAGGCTGTTGGACCTCATCGTTATCGCCTAGATGATTTGGTCAAATGGATCCTCTTTAACTGTCGTTACCTACCCCGTGAAGTCAGAATTGGTAGAATGGATCCTTGGTTCCTGTAAGTCTGGCGCTCCGCATTCTCGCCACTTCCCATTTGTTTGGCTAAATTGCAGTTTTATTGCATGCATAAAACTCCCTAAGGTCTTACTGCTCTCTGTATAGTTCCGCATATAGAATCAGGTCAAAGTCTCATATTGTCCATTTGAGCTCATTCACTAGCCCGAATCGTAACACAGGGTCTAGAGGATTCAAACATTACGTGACATAACGTCGGCCCATGAGACATTTCCTATGCATATGCCGCCACCAGGCAATCGTACCTCGACACCAGGTGGAGACGATCTGAGATTCGGGTGCGCTGCTCGCCTATTAGCCCGGTAGCGGGCTACCCGGCGCGTACAAAGGGCGCGGACAGAGGAGTAGCTCTCTGTGAGGAGTAATTGCAAAATAAAGACTCAAACCTGACGGATTAACATTCGACGTGGTCTATTGATCGCTGTTAGAGGCTGGAATGACTGGAATGGCTCGGGCGACTCTTCAAACAATCACCTTATTGACCGCTATTGACCGGGCTTCCTATCCGAAAGTGATGAAGGGACGTTGATCTTTGCCCAAAACCGGCTGGTTATTACCAACGAATGCTTCCAGCATCGCGGCAAACATTTGATCTGGTATTCAAAGGGTACTTCAGTCAGATTATCTGCACTATAGTCCAAGGTTTCGTGGCCAACTTCATATTAGCATATCGACACATGTTGTCGAACTTGTAAACACCTATGGACTAGGACATGCTCTTGTTCATTCGCGCCTGAAAGTCCACCTCTCATCCTCACCAAGACGGCTCGTGAAGGCACCTTGGTGTCGCGAAATTACATCGACTCCAAATGGCCCGGGGCTCTGAGCACAAATTTGGTCTTACTTTGCAACGCGGGTCGAAGGAGGAGGAAGTAGCAACTGGCCATCCGCGGATATCTAAGAGGATTTTCGCAACCACTCAGTGGTGCCGCAGTGAATGGATCAGCTCAGAGGTCGTAAGGTTGTCTGCGCGGACAGTCCGGGCGAAGTCCAGCAATGAGGATTCCCGCCAACGACGGGAGGTTGTTTCAAAGTCGGCTAAAATGACAGCAGAAACTCGTGGGCTGAAATGATGCCCACACGATGCAGGCCTCAGACGCTGGTACCACTCGACGATTTCACTAGTGATAGGTCCCCTGCATCAAGCGAAGTTCACGACGTGGATGGTGGTTTTGTTGTTGACAAGTCGGCCAAGATTGAGCGTTGGTGCGAGCACATCGAGCACCTCCTCAGTGTCGAGGGCCGAACCATCACTCCCTGCATCTTCGGAGCGGGGTTTTACCCCTCTCCAGTTTATGCGCTACCACATGACCCCCCCCCCCACCTCAGAAATAACCATCAATGCAATACTGAGGCTGTGCAGCAACAGGACCCACAGAGCGGACGAATTGCCGTTGAAGTTTACAAGTTACGTGTCGACGCTCTCACGCCCTGATTCCATGAGGTGAGTGAACAAGCGTAGGGATGACCATTCCTGACGCTTGAAACCCGATCATCCTCGGATCTGTCTTTAAGAAAGGAGACAAGGCAAAAGTCGAGAACTACCGCGGCAGTAAGTTCCGTCGGAGGCACTGTAAAGGTGTTTGCAATTTTTACTCTCTTACGATTTCAGGCGTGTGTAACCGGGCAAAGCCTCAATTAGGCCGAGTTCCGGGCCGAGTGCGCCCACCAGATACTCGCACTGGGGTACATTCTTGCATCCCGTTATGGCCACCAACAATCGAAAGTCATATGATTTCTTGACCTCGCGGCGACGTCAGGCTGTGATGGCCTACAGAATGTAGTGTCACGGGGCGAAATTGCTGCCGAATAGGGTAAGGAGGACACCGTCGCCCCTTATCTATGCTGCTCGCAGAGCTTTCGCATGTCTTGGGGAGTGTTTACGGACCCGTTGCACCATCTCCGTTGACAACGTTCCGTGGATACCAGACAACTGTCTGTCCAGTCCTCTCGTATGTTTGTAAATGCCGAGGTGTGTGCGTGGAAGACGACCGAAAGCTAGAGATATTTGACCACCGTTGCCTGAAAACCAGCCTTTGAGTGAATTACGCCGATCTCATGTCAGTCAAAACAGCCTGTACCCGCCGCGGCAACATTTTCAGGATATCCTTGACTATCTCTGACGATGGACTCCTGCACGAGTTTGAAAGCTCAGAACAACGTTCGGGTGCTCGACCATCCTTCTTCACCTATATCCTTGACTACCCGAAGAGGATGACTGGTGGGTTAGTAGATTCTTCGTCGTTCATCCTGTGAGTTCAGTATTGCCGCTCTCGGTCCGACTCCGCTGCCCGCCTGGATGCATCAAAGAGGTAAGGTATAAACTTGGCTCATTTTAGTCCCTCAAGACATGGTGGTGGTTGTCAAATCGTTTGTGTTCAGGCTCCTCCTGGAGAAGACAGTGGGTCGAGCTTTCCAGATCAGCTGCCGCAGATCGTCAGGCTTTGAGAGGTACCGTTCTCGACGTCAACAATATAGGCTGGATCAGCCATGATAACAACCGCACTAATCACAAGTAGACTGTAGATTACGGGTCGTGAGGGTTAATGCCCTCGGGTACGACCAGTAACCAATTCGACGTCTGCTATCTATAAAAAGGTATCAAGCTGTAGCGGTACTAGGATATGACACATAAGTTACCAACCGTCGGTTTCTGGCACAAGCCTTAATGCGCTGTAGGACTGGAGGAGAGCGTCCACCCTCGAATCTAGAGATTCTAGCAAGTCTCTCAATGTAGTTGCTGTCTGACGATTCACGGTTTAACCGGGGTTGGACGATTGTATTGCGGCTCGCATGCTGTGTTCAGGCACCGGGAACGGCAGTAAACCTGGGTCTAATTTGTCATCAAGAGTCTAAGTCAAACGCTTTAGCACTTGAACCGCCAACCCACTTTCTGTTAATTTTTTGTTATCTGAAATGTATAAAATCACATGGAATTGGTGTCTCACTCAATGCGACCTCAGTCAGACGAGCCATGGTCTGCCATAGCCGGGCGCACTGTTATGTCATCGGAGTCATGAGTAGCCTCCAATTACGTCATCCGTTTTCTGCCCCCCCCCCCGATCATCCGGCCTCTTAACAATCAGCTGAGGTGATGACATAATCTGCAGACCACTGAAGGTTGCCTAGCGAGGCTTCTTTGTTCCAACTATGTGACCTCGAAAATCTCATAGTCATACTTTCCCCCTAGGTCGCGCGTGATGGCAAATGAATTTTTCTCCCGTGTGAATCCCGGCATGTCTTTTGAACGACTGGAACACGATAGCGCAACCGACAACCTCTCTGGCGCGCCAACTCTTCTCGATTTGGATGTCAAGCTGAGTAAACTGGAGGACCGAATTCATCAAATCCTCTTCGTTTACCGACGTCTGAACAATTACTGGGAAGCTGTCGGCGAATTCCCTGAACCGCCCAACCCTCCACTGTCCCTGGTTTAGATCTTGCCCAATGTTAGACAAAGTAGAACTTCCTCCCACTTTGTGATGCTTCCCCCGCCACTTTGCCTTCCGCTTTGTTCCTTCACTGTTCGTCTGTAATAGGAAGCTTTTTATCCTTCTAACTCTTGCCTCTTTAGATGCCTTAATTGCACAGCCAGTGGCACTTAAAGTGCTCTTTTCCTTCCATCAACCTCTGTTTAACAGCGGCGCTTCTCATTATCTCAACCCACTCTATGTGGGTTTTTAATGGATAGTAGTTTGTTGGTTGGCCAGAGGCCACTCAACAAATGTACCACTTTTGCGGGGTCAGCATTTTTCTACACTTAAGTAAGACCGTTTCGATACGCATTGATACCACGCGCAGCCGATTTCGTGAAGCTTCGGCCTTATATACAGCATACTCCACCAAAAATGCAGATTACTGGGCGCCCAGGCTGCATTCGTAGCAAGAGAGGGTAGTTTATTATTTCTACGGCGACAACGACGCCTGTTCACCCTTATCGTTTTACCGAAATCTTCGGTTTATTTTTGCGACTGGGACCCCACTTAGCTCAAAACGAGGATTCAAGTTACCCAGCTGTTTGAATGAATATTTTAACAAAGACAAGGGAGGTATGGATGTCAAATACAGGTGGGCTCCTGCACATCGGTTGTGGAAAACAGACTGCTAGTTTTTGAAAACGCCCATCTGTTTCAACGTTAATAGCTGAGAGGGGGGAGCGTCAATTCTTCGAGACACAGTGCTTCGGGGTATATAGTTCGCTGGCACGATTCGGTGCCAAGGTGGCGTCGAAATGTCGCCCTTATTACGCCGAGGCTGTGTTCGCCAATCTGCTTCAATTGCAACTCGGTATACGGCCATTGTCTCAACTCGCATAAAGACATTTGGGTTGGGGTCCGGTATGGCTGACTGAGGAGGGCGGATAAGTACCAGGCGGCTGCTTGAGTTTTCGTAGTCTTCTCGTTAGCACATACCAATTGCTGGTCAGTTGGCTATGCGGCCGTCCTCAACGGTCCCAGACTGCGAGCCCAATGTAAAGTGGAGCAGCCGTATTCTGCCCTGCAATCTAGCCGGATCGATAAGCGCCACATTCGAGCGCAGGCGACTGTGTGAATCCCGGGCTCAACTGTTATGGTATTAACTCAACAGCCCACTGAATTTAATTTCAAATCACAAGTCTTCTCGGTGCCTGGTTGAGGTATTACTGGCTAATGATTATAAATGGTCTCTTCAGTCCCCCTTGTTTTTGCCAATAGCACTTGTCTATTAGGTCTGCCTAAAATGACTGCTGCTGGAACAGTGTTTATACGACCTTGGAGCAAGCTTCTTTTCGATCTCTGATGCTCTGCGCAATGAGGTAGGGGGCCCTTTGGTACCTCTTCAAGAATGGTTACGGAACCAGTCCTGAGAGGAATAGTTAGGCTCTTCACATTTATTTTTTAGGACTAAAAGACCGAAAAGTGGAGTTCTTTGTTAAAACCTCTGAAAGAATGCGTGGGGCAGTGGGCGCCTGTTGTAACAGAACCAGCGTGCACAGTATACTAACACGCAAGAATTCGAATATCCTAGGCCTGGTAGTACTTCCCCCCCCCCTTCCCAAGGCCGAATGATATACCAAAGACTCGCAAATCCGACCTTTTCATGCAGCTAATATTAGGTGTACAATTTTGAAGTGGCTGACCAGATTTCCTAAGCGATCCAATGAGCCTACAGAACACTTGATTCATTTATTCCATGAGAAATGCGAATTCCGGTGAAAAATTATGTTAACATTACATGTATTTTGTTCACGGATATTCCCCTCACAGCAACGATGCAGTATGTGACGAAATGGCTAGAAAAGATTTTCCTATTAGCACACCGGTCATAGCACTAGTGGACCTGCTACTTCACAGCAGATTGAATTCCAAATTCAGATTCGATAGCCAATTTTACTGTCAGATCGGTGAAGTGACGATGGAATCACTTCGTGGACCCTTACTAATTGTCACCATAGAAAAAGTAGAGATGGGTAAACTATTTATTCATAAAGGGTCTTGATTTCTGTGCTCGATATATTGATGGCATTTTTATAAGGGGGATGATATGCTTGATTTGGAACCCTCCTGGATAGTGTGAGTCAAGCTCATCCGGCGTTAACCTTCTCTTTGGAAAGAAAGAAAAGGGGGAATACCTTCCGTTTCAGGACGTCCTACTTAGTAGAACGTCTGATGAAACAGTCTAGAAGTGTATTTTGCGAGGAAAAATGGAAGGGAAGATAGGCAAAATTCTACAGGTTTGTACCCCTAAATCAAAAATAGAGTCTCATTTGCTGCGTAACCGGCCGAGTTAGGATAGCATGCACTTCGGATACGCTGGAGAACAAACCTGATTTATACGAAACACCTTGCGCCAAAATAGGTTCCCTGAAAAGCTCATAACCAGATATGTGGGAAGACATCCGTCAAAAACGGGCGTGCTGGCGTCAGAGTAGGGGTACTTTTTCTGCCGCTTCGAGGAGACCTGCCTTGCGAGATCTTGCACCGTCGCTTGTACTCTGCATTTTCGCACATATACCGGTTAAACGTTACTTTATCATGCACTCAGTCGCTTCATTTGCTCCTGTGGGCAGGCCATACTGGTCGAACGACAAGGATCCCATCCAAGCGGATACGAGAGCACCATCCCGCCTTGTTGAATCAAGGCGGGGAAAAGTTCATCTCTGGCACAATCATGGCACACCTTGGATGACAATGGTCACCAGGTCGACACAAACCAAGTAGTTCGAGTCATTTCTAGATTGCTGACAAGACAGTACAAGTATCTACGTTTGCGGATACTTGCGACGACAGAGGCGATTGGCCAACCCAACATTGTGCCCCCGGAAGGTGCTCCTCCAAACTCTCGCTTGTCGATGATGGACTATGAGCGTGAAAGATAGACGAAAACAGGAGGTATCTGGTGGAGGGACGCTCGCCGACCGCGTTACGGAACTCAGTCGTTCCGTTGTCCCTTGGCCTGTCTCTGTAGAGCCCAACCAGCAGCCGCACGGCGGCACGTAATATAGGAAGAAGAACACTACCGACAGAGACAATGACAGGACAACGAACCCGTCGCTTAGTGGTTAGGGCGCTGACCTAACCAGCGGCTCGCAGGACCGGACGCTAGGTGTTGCGCACCTCGGGGTTGAGTGTGGCTGGCTGACGACGGCCAAGAGGCCAGAAGCGGTCACCCCAGTCCCTCCCCCCGTCTTCGTCCGATACGATAGGTGTTTGACCACCATTGCCTGAGGGCCGTCCTTCGAATTAAGTAAACCGATTTCGTGCCCAAATGAGACAGTTCACACTCTGCAACAACATTGCGAGGACACCTCAGGGCATCCAAGAAAGACAATGGACGTGGTTTGGACACGTCCAGCGTCGTCTACCCCCTGAGCACAGCGTTGCTGTCCTCGACCTGGTGTCGTTGCTGACCTGGGGGTCGTCGAAGATTAGCCAACTCAAAAGGTGGCTCGGTGCGGTTCATCAAGGCACTATGTTGGTTCTCAGACCTTCGTATTCGGTTTTCGTTGCTGGAGCAGAGGATGGGTTGAGCTGTTCGGGTCCGTTGCTGCTGATCGTCACGCGTGCAGGGGCATAATCCGCGTCATCACCAAAGTTAACTAAATCAGGCATGGTCACAATTGTACCAAGTACAAGTCTTTCAGGTCCAACCTGTCCCGACGCAAGTTGAGCCGCACACGTTCGTATTTACATCCTGTCACGCTGTGTTGCGGCGACAAAAAAATAGGCAGATTTACCGCCTCCCATGCCCCCGAGCGAACTGGACTGTGATTACGCGGGGTTTCTGACATTCCCGAACACGCTCATCTCTCTCCTCCATTACTGCCGTTTATCGACTGCTCTACACTTTCAGTGCTCCATATAAACTTACATTACTGCATGGACTTGATGATGAATAATCGAAAACGTGCGTTTACCAAGTCCGATTTCTTCAACATTATAATATCCTCAAGCCATGACTGGGAGGTAGGAGATTTTGCCTGTTTTCATTGCCTCTTTTTTATTATACACATATTCTTCCTAACCAATGAGAGAACAATTCGTGAATGTTTCCTAGGTAAAAGGTCTCACGACCGGCCGTGTCAAAAATTTTATAGGAACGCATGCTTGGACTCATAGCATTTCTTCTCTGTGCTTGATTGGCAGGCCATTCTCCTTGTAGAATGTCGACTTGATTATCTGCAATCGCCCGTATTTCGGATGTGTTATTTCCTCCAGCGGCATGAGGGTTGATAAATCCCATCCGTATTTCATGGATGATGCAACGGGTAACTTATAGCGCTGGTCCGGCGGTATTTGCGCTCGCTCCATCAGATACTTTGCCCTTAGGGAGTAGGAAGGTGCATTTAATTCTTTATTTAGATAAAATATTGCTACTTGAACTTCACGAGTAAGCATTAAAGGTTACCAATACAGAATCACGATTTGCTAGTGCAGCTGTCGACGAGTTCAAGTTCATCATCTAACGCCATATTACAACGTAGAATTGGTGCCGCCAGGGTAATTTAAAAAAAAAATATTTTCACACTCACAAAACAAATTCAGGCACATGGTCAAATTCTTTTTAGCAAAAGGAGGATTTCTGCCTCATAAGACCTCAGACATAACAATAAATGATATTTTTTTAATGAAACTGTTCCGTCGGCTCTGTATTCCCATATTCCTTGAATGATGTCTAGCTCAGCCAATTGTGGCAGCCACATCCCAGCAGTCATTTTGTCTGTTGTGTGTGTGGTGGGTCTGTCCATCCACTCTAGTTAGCTGGTTCTGTTGTAAGAGAAGAATCTGCGCAGGCAACTAACGACGGCTGGACTGCTACTTATTCAACCACTGAGTCTAAGCCAGCCTTCGGTCATTTCAGCCAAGTATCTTCACTAGACGACGGTGGGGTCAGGTTGAGAGATTGAAGTTATTGTTGCAGAAATCTGTGCTCTCAATGAAAATAATTTGCAAGTCCTTTTCAACACCAGCCACTGCCGGAGGTACTGTCAGGGTGGGCGAGCGGTGGGCATGTTGACGCTGGAAGGTGAATCACACATGTACCACACACACATATGTACCGCATAAACACACATTCTCCCCATTTTCCAGCAAACAACAACCACCGAAGAAGAAGAAGAGTGGGGCTCGACAGATTGGATTCTAAGTAGTTGCATGCAGATACTTCTTAAAAAGTATCACAGATGCGGTACTTATGGTTATCTTACCCTCCCTGGTGAATACTAAAACATTTTGCGGACGATTTGGGCACTGAACCTGGCCTGAGATCTCCCTAATGCGTTTAAATCCCGTCTAAAGTGTAAACTGTTCGTCCGATGCTATAAAAAAGGGCAAATATCACGCAGTTTGGCTCCATGTTTTATTTGTCAGGAACTTTTTAAGAGGCGCAAACTAGGGCATCAAATAATTTGAATACATGTCGGCGGCGCTCTGTTGATGTATGGAGGAAGTGACCAATGACCGGAAATGCGCATATGCGCTTGGATTTGCATCAGGCATTCATCACCACTAAATTCTGCCGCTTACGAGCCGTATATGTCACCGGAGTTCGTTAAAGTAGGCAATTTCATGGTTTCACACCGTGCCCCTTTTGGCTGGTGCCTTCTATCTTTTAAAAGATCGTCTCTTTGCTTCAATGCCTACTGCCGATCCGACCTTAACAGATATCCGTTTACAGTTCACCTGTTGCTTGATTCGGCACTTATTATTAGTCTTACCTTCAGGCGACACGTTTTTCGTGGGAGTGATTGTGGACCCTCCCTGGGAAGCCTCTAACGTGAGAATATTATTTAATCCGGTTTCTGTTTACTGACTTGATAAAAAATTTCCCTTCTCATATATTCCAATCTCTACACCTGAGGATTATCTTAGGCACAAATCTGAGCACAAACATATAGAGCCATGTTTGTTTGCATCGACAACGTCTACACCCTCGACATAGAATGCTGAAGCCGTTGACCTTAGTTATTTCACAGGTGGAATATGCTCTCGTATAAAACGTACATTTAAGAGACGGTCTGATGATACGTGGGAGAGTTATAAGTTGGAATTAAATCCTGCAAAAAATGACGCAGCCTGTTATTTCCTGTGATATGGGCAATCACCAACTTACTTTACATTTCGTCTTAAAACTCAGATTGTCTTCGTTACTCACCTGCCCTTAGATTCATGTGAGATGCCTTCGTAGATAAGTTTTCTAAGCTCCGGATCGACAGGTGCCATTTCATTAAGATCCATAAATGCTCGTCGCTCCTCAGGCTCTTTAGGCAGGCCAGTCGGTGTCTGTTTCTCCGCTACGCTTTCGCTATCCTCGGGCTCTGGTTTTTTTTCAAGAAACTGCTTTAGAATGCTGTCTGACACTATCTTCGCCCTCCGTCGTCGAAGTTCAGCAGCGGGTGTCGTGTCGAAATTTGTCAGTTGCCCCTCCATCTCGCCTCTATGCTGGTAGAAGTATCGCAGTTGAGCTACCAGCTCCTTCTCAAATACTTCCTCGTACACCTTCTGAGCCCTCGTATCGGCCGGATAATTGCGCGCCATCTTCCTGTCGTTTTCGTGCGACTGCTTGGATCGAGTTGTGGATACAAAGAACGCTGCGTCGCGTGACCTTGCGCTGTGTAGGCACAATACACTCACGCCTCTCCATATTTCCATGGAAACAGTTATCGCCATTGGGTATGTCCATGCACTATGGTGGGAGGACTAAAAGTGATTGTGTGTTGTAAAGGTGACAGCAAAATAACTTTCTTAGCACGATTTTACTTGAAATCAGAATGTAAAGTTTTTAGTGTCGATTTTCTCTGACCATGCTCAGAAGTTTAGCCTGGCAGACGAAGATTACGCCTCGCGACATCTCAGGCTTTTTTGATTAGCAGAGGCAAGAAAACGCTGATTTGATAAGGTACTGGATCTCAGTGCTTCTTACTTTCGACCGTTGAGGAGCGCAAAATCTTACGTATTTTTTCCCATTTATCTCTTCTGAACGTGCCACTATCAAATATAGGCCGTCATCATTCTCATCCCTTCTCTCTCTCTCTCTGGCTCTTTTCAACCTGATCTCTATCCCAGTTCTTTCAAACACTTCAGTCTAGAGAGCTCCGTGTTGCACTTGTAATGGCGTCGTAGTAATGGCTGTAGTCGCTGGAAAAACATGAGTATCCGAGTGCGAGCAGAATGACCTTTTGTATTACGGTGGAAAGTATGCGCATTTCGAACAGGTTGGTCGAGTAGCACTCAACAACTTTACACAATATCCACGAAGCAGCCCAACCTTTTCAAGTCATCCAACATCTTGTCTCCGTGGGCATATCCAGGCTTCCGCTCGTTCACTCCTTAAATGCGTGTGAGGAGCGTGCTAGTAAAATACAAAGTTTACATACAACTGTCCCAAAAAAACACCGTAATACAAGCACAAGAAAATAAAAAAGAGAGTCAGAATCAAGTTAGCCATTGAAAAGTCTTTTGTTCAGTAAAGAACATGCCTCCTTAGTGAAGACTGTGCATCTTACAAGTAATACAGCGGGGAGAACGAGGACTAAAAAACTGAGATCTGCTGAGGGTTTCGTGGGGGTGGGGGAAGGTGGAGATACGCCATAAATTACCTCAGATCGGGCGAAGAGACTTACTGCCATTAAGTTAAAAGAGGCTGAAATCTTACCGTCAAGATACTTTCTGAAACCTGAGAACAGTTACATCAAAGAGACAAAAAGGGGACTAAAAATTGTAGAAGAAGCAAGACGAAGATTAACTTGTGCATACATTTATTCTTGTCTTTGTCTGTAACCCTCCTTTTGCGTATTTACTCTTTTTAGGAGATTAGGAGCAGGCATTACGGAGCAATAAAATTTAAGAGATAAAAACATTGCTTATGCAAAGTGACAGAGTTCGGCTCGAACAGTAATATTATAAAGAAAAGACCAAATATAAAACCTTCGGCATTTTAATATCCTCGAACTGCCGTTTGGCAGGAATGGGCCGAATCAGTAAGAGATAGGCGCAACCCTGAATCATTTGAAGAATGAGACTTACTCAGGAAAGATTCCCAGTGCTCCAAAGATGGGCAAGGTCAGCCGGAAAGCCCACCATGGGAGTTTGCTTATTGAATAGTTGACAGTTTTGAGGCTACTGTGCGGCTACGACTGGTTCTCGAGGCGGTTGTTTGCCAGGTCAATAACACACGCCTGTGAAGAACGTAGAGCAGGCCAAGGCCTAAGTAGTGCACGGAAAAACGTGATCAAATAACACCTACTTAAATAAATGCAGTAAGGAGTATTGTGTATTTATAAGTCTGCTCAGGTACACAGCACCCCTTACCAAAAGAAGGAAAGGCGTTCATCGGGAGGGGTTTATTGGCGGTCCGACGTTTCGAGTAGTCTATTCGTCTACCCATCTCGGAATAGGTGTCGCCCACAGACCTCACTCAATAATCCGCCGGCAAGTGATGCGTCCAAAAGATCCGATCCTTAAGCAGGAGATGTCGGCCGTTGTCTACCGACTTCAATGCAGCTGCGGAAGGTGCAACTACGTTGGGAAACTGGCCGACGGCTGCAAACGCGAATGCGTGAGCCTAAGTTGGCCGTGCGAAGGTTGGACCCAAAGTCGGAGGCAGCAACCCATGCCGCCCAAATTGGACACATCTTCAACTTTGACGCCGTTGAGATTGTGGACAGGGGCGGTGATCATGCAGCAAGGCAAGAGCAATAAGCCTGGATGTCCACCGACTGCTCTGTCAACCGCCACATCAATTTGCCTCCCGCCTATCTGACTTTACGAACTTTCTTAACGGAGGACAATCACGGCGCGGGACAATCGGGGCCGTCAGTCATCTCCGCGGTCGAGGGGGGCGATTCAGGTCACGGTGACATGCGGGTTGGATGCAGCCACACAGGCGGCATTAGCGGGTCATGCATTGAACAAAGGGCGCCATATAAGGGGAGCTGTGCGCAGGACTTTCCAGTCTCTGAAGATGGGTAGACGAATCAACTACTCGAAACGTCCGACCTCCAACAAACCCCTCCAGGTGAACGCCTCTTCTACTTTTGATATTCCACATGGGAATCGCATTTTCACTGTTACACCCTTACCAATTTCTACCATATTTTAGTTGGATTTTGGCAGAATTGTTTCCGTGCGTGGTTGCCCTGGGTACATGAGCAACGCTGAAAATCAACCCCTGTGACAGTAACATAAATCGCCTCGGAAATATTACTGAATTCTGGATCTAGCCCACTTACGCCAGTATTTTGGTGTAGGTTTAGGAAAGTTGGGACTATTCATTCTGTCAGACTCTGTCCTGACGGTATCAGGCTTGTTGAGCTTATCTTTAAAGGGTGCGCCAGTGCACTCTCATTCATTTGGAGTGCAAATGTGGTGCGGGTCCATGCGTGCACCTAGGCTGGTTGCCGTGGCAGCTGACGAGCAGTGCCGTGTTAGTCGCCCTTGCGTACACTCGCGTTTCAATTTGTCCGCCCGGTGTTCGTTCGACAAACCCATAGGTGAAGGAAGAGCTACTGTTCTCATTCTTTTTCATATCTACGGCCAATTGTATGCCAGAAGGAGATTTGAGAATACTGTAAAAATTTTGAAATGTGCCTCTTTGGATTTTTGTTACTGTGTTGTCAGCGGAACGGCCCTCAAGTCGCAAGTATCTTCCTCCAGGCCAGTTTCTTTAAATATTGTAAGACTATTTCCACAACTAGATCGGAGACTGTGCATCGCGTTGGAGTTAATTTGGTCTGCAAGGGATTTTTTTAGCTTGGCGTGAATAAGGTTCGGTAACAAAACTTGAACAACGTGGTAAAATATATAAGCTTGATGACGCCCTGTCCTTATTAACATCGCATATCATGAAATTTTTGCTTATGATTTGACTGCGGTCTTGCTGTCTACTGTAATAGGGCAGATAAATCCCACCGATGAACTTGAAGCGATAACCTCCATCTTGCGGGATCAGTCCCGGTCTCACAGGTTTTAGTTCGCTAAGGAGTTGGCCAGTAGCACAACGTCATCAACATGGTACTCTTAATGGACGGATCACAACCTACTGTTAGCACCAGGGTGGTCGGTCAGTGCATGCTGAAGAATCCCAATGTACCGCATAATTTAGTAGGGTTGAGGAGGCAACGCGTTTGTGCATCAGACTTTAGGTGGCATGCGACCGACCACAGGCGATCCCAATGGGTAGAGTAAGATGAAAGTATGAGACCCATGAAACTGATAGAGTGGGTTGTTAGTATCTCTTGAGCCGTTCGAGGATCCGGTGAGGCGAGGAGACTTTTTCTCCGAAGCCTAAGCCGAGGGTGAACACTCGTTACCACGACCTTCAGGCCTGGCCCTGAATGGAAAGAGGAGATAGACATCAGTTGGGAGGATTGTATATTCTGTATGGAACTGGAGAAGGGATTGGTAGTCAGAGGAAAACGCCCTCGGCGCCAGGAGAGCGAGGTCCCAAATCCAAGTCAAGAAATGCGTCAAGGCGTTTTAAACCAGGGTGCGCCCGACTCAGCCTTGAATCTGATTGGCCAGTTGGAAAGCCAAGTGAACAAACGTCAGGCAGTCCTGGTGCGCACGTGTAGACACTCACGAGAGGCCCCGGGGTTGCGACAGGCACTCGCAGTAGGGTCGCTACAAGTTGGTCAACACATCCCCTGCCCGACCTACAGTCTCTATGATCCTCGTCTGCGCGTTACGATGTAGGCGGAGATTATTGGGGAGGAGGACTCTGCAGACTCGCGAAGATTTCAAGAAGACATGCTACGGTAATTCCTGCACAACCCTCCGTCGTCCTTCCTGAGCATCAAGGTAGCAACAGCATGCATCCAGCTCGTGGGCCCAGTCTGTATTTACAACTTTGAGTCCGGATGCCACTGGAGGACAGTCGCCGACGTCGGGCGATTTGCATTCCGGCCTCGAAACCTTTGAGAATATGTCGGAAGTGGTGTGGTCGACAAGACAAAATTTTCAAATCAGAAGTTAAGGAAGACGAATTGGGTCGGACAACTTTTACTGCTGGGGAAGTGCGTACACAAAGGCTCTGCAAGCAGTCGCAACGAGCGGTCTTTCTGGACAAGTTGTGCTGTCCGCGTCTACCGTTAAGGGGCTTAGACCCCAACTCGTGCGTGCGCCTTTGGCTCTGCCCCGGTGTACGCCAGCCAATCAGAGGAAGGGGCAGCACTGATTGACCTCGAGCACTTGCGAGGCTAGTAACAAGACTCGCATATCCCAACAGCAAATCGACAGGGAGTGTGAGGCAGACAGGAGGGCGGCGTGACAAAGTGGCGGAGAGCAAGGAGGCGCGGACTGCTACAAATATACTCTGCAGATGGTGAGTTGCAGCCACCGTTGTGTTCACACTTGGGAACATCTGTTAACTGGGCGGTAGCTGGACGGGTCAGGATTGTCAGTTTATGAGGCTGAGCAAAGTGCCTTTGAGAACACCCCCTGCAGATAGTGTGCTGCAGCCTCTGTCAGATTCGGACTTCAGGGCATAAAATTTGATTCCGACGAAGGTACTTCATCTGGTTGTGTGATCCACACCATAG